AGGATAAATGTCTCGCTTGCTGGCTCAGAGTTATCTACATGGGAGGGGCTGTAATCTGAGTTTCCTTGCTCTGAAACATCCTCTAAATCGTGAGACGATCATGTTAGGCTCCACTTCACCTCGGTTTGTGCATAAAGATCAACCTCAGCTGATATTTGCTTTAAGCACTGGGTCAAATGTTGTTGCTGAAGGTAACTAGGTTATGTCAGTCATGTTCCATGTTACACATCATATACAAATCAGGTTCCAAGAGTGTATTCATTTAAATATGTTATGAATGAATTGAAATGAATGGAGGGCAAAGGGTGCCTTTTATTACGGTAAAAGTAAAATATGAACACTAAAGAAAAATTCTCAGTAAAAATATCTGTTAAAAAAACCTTCTCAAACCTTGATACATTGCATGTGTGTTTTTTCCTAAGTCAGAATTAAATTTAAGCAGTGAAATAGTGAGTGACAGTGTTTATAAGTTCTTTATACTGAGTCTTACTATAGTTGTCAGTGTGTTTATTTTACGCGTTCGTGATAAACACACACTTATATATAAATTGGGGTGTTCGTGATTCAAACGAGTACTTTTGCCAACTCGCAGTATTTTTTATTGTATTTATTTTAGTTCTAACAACCAAATGCAGTGTTTATTTTACATACTGAATCCAAAATTCGGCGGTTGTGTTTGTAGTGTGGGGTGGAAGCCTGGATGATTCTAGCCCTCAGTGAGTTAACATTTAGACGTTGACTTCTTAAGTTTTGAGAGTGCCAGTTTAGGAAGCCAACGTATGACTGAGGACCTTTTTTGTTATTTTACAAGTAAAATGTTCCAGATTAATGTCTGCATCATCGATGTACTGGTTCATAGCTGTTTAGCCATTATTGCGGTGGCATTTCTTGCCAACAGATGTATTCATCAGTGTTAGGAAGGTTATAAGGACTATAAAGGTCAAGGTGAAAATAAAGAGAAAAGCTCCTTTCTCCTTCGGCCGAAGTTTGAGAAACCTGACCATTGACTGTATAAAAAGGTGGATGCTGGCACTGTGAAGTCATCACTTTGTCCATTTTGAAGTCTGAACTTTAAGTTTATAGCTGATGTATCTTCATTTATCTTCATTTTCTTGATCCAGAAGTGACCATGACATGTTCACTAGCATGCTATGTACATTATATACGGGAAATTACCCCCTAACTTTAGTAAGCTCGGTTAGCGATGCACATTAACAGATACCTGCAAAGTAATGGGGACATAAAATACTAGAACAACCATCCAAGCATGATTTCGTCTGACTCTGAAAATCTGATATGGAAACAGCGATGTTAAAATCACAGTGGCTACATCTCTCATATAGGCTACATTTACTTTACTTTTTACAACAACTAAGTGTTCTTGGGATTATCAGAGCTCTTGCGTGAAAGCAGAAATCAATCCTGCAACCATTAACTCCCTGACTGGTCCAGTGTTAACCAGTATCTGCTCTTCATTAACAAATATGTTTGATTGGAGCTAAAAATAAATAAATAACATAACCATTCATTTGCAAAGCAGAAACATTTGTGATGCAGCAACATAAAATGTATATTCAGAAAGAAAAATAAAAGTACTGTTCTGAGTCTTGTGTGATAACCTGTGTGCTCCTGATAGTGCTGTCAGTGCAGCGCGCAGGATTTCTTTCTCAGTTATGGTCCACACTGACACCTTGTGGTCTGTGGGATTTCTGCTTTGCCTAACACAATAAATCTCAGCGCTCAGCTGCTGGTTTCTTTACATTTGTTTTTCCTTTATGTTTGAGAATGTCACAGCCAGTACCGTCACGAACATCCTTCACACTTTGCCAGTAGGAAAATCAGGACGTGTTTTGCTTGGCTGCCTTTAACCCACTTGTCGCCTTTTAGGGAAATCAGGTGTCATTTGTACTGTGTGCGCTGTAAAGTCTGTCATTTTTGTTGGCCTTCAAGCAGCAGCTTTACACACCTGGTAAGCACAGACTTTGAGTTTCAGTGTTTTTTGTTGTCTGATTATATTCATAAATGTCATTTCATGTCATGTCTGTTGTCGTCTTCTTATTTAAGCCTTATTTTTAAAGAAAAAGTTAATAATACACAGATTTTTAAGGTCACAATGTTACAACTGATTCTCAAAAATGCTTGTGTTTTGAAAACTCCGTTAGTACAGTAAAGATTCTCTTCTCTTTTTTTTTATCCTTTTGAAGATCAAAATCAATAAATAAAGTTGCATATGTTTTTTTTTATTTCCTGGTAGGACAACTAAGTTGAAACTGTATCAAAAAATATAAAAATTTAAATGATTAAAACACATTTTATTATACAGTAGGCGTTTCTGTATTTATATAATACCCTAGCATTTATATCACAACATATAGACTTATTGGTCTCTTTATTAGGTACACCTGTTTAACTGTTCGTTGACGCAGATATCTAGTCAGCCAATCACATGCCAGCATCTCAGTACATTTAGGCACGTCGAAATGATCAAGACCATCTGCTGAAGCTGAGAAGAAAGGTGATTTAAATGACTCTGAATGATGCATAGTTGCTGGTGCCAGACACGCTGGTCTGCTGGTCTTTCCCCATGAACATTTCTGGAATTTACAGAGAATAGTTTGAAAATGAAAAGATATCCAATGAGCGGCAGTTCTCTGGGCAAAAATGCCTTATTATAATAATTGTTATAATAATTAAGGCAGTGCTAAAGGGAAGGAGAAGAGGGAGGAGGTTTCAAATACATAGTGTACCTAATAGTGTTTGGTGAGTGGACATGTAAAACATTTGAATCTTTAAACCTCTATTGGCAGCTTTTCACTGATTTTTCTTCTCTCTGTTTTCAACTACAGTCTGGTAAGATGGAGAATTTATCCAGCAATGCCACATTCAACTCCAGCAAAGCTGACCAATGTCTTTTTGCACCTACTCAAATAGCGATGCTCTCAGTGATTGACATCTTTACTTTTATCATCGGGGAAACAGTGGTAGGGAAACTGCTGTGGATCATCTTCACATCCAAGAAGGCTATAGATATCCTCAACTGTAATTTAGCTATCTTCCACACTGTGCATTATTTTACATCCTTCGTTCATTTAATTTTCCTGTTTTTGCTGCCACAGTACCAGATAAACCTGCTCAAGGTTTTGCTTAGCTACACACAAACAGGAGGCGCATCAAGTTTGGTTTTCATATGCATGGAGAGATACGTTGCTGTGGTTTACCCCACATCTTACCATCTGCTGAATAAATACAAATTCAGGGAGATGTGTGCTCTGACAGTGTGGCTCCTTACTGCAGTTACTGTTTTCATAAGTAATCTATTTAATATCCCCTCTCAGACAGATCTGATATTAAGGGCTATCCCACGTTTTCTGGTGTTATTCAGCTGCACAATGATGATCTACTACAACAGAAACATCTTGATAACGCTGATGAAATCAGCACCAGAAAAAGATGAGCTGCATCCTGCCAAAAAAAGAGCCTTCCTAACCATCCGGGCTACCACATTCATCAACTTGTCATGTTATATTCCAGCAACCATGTTGCAAATGTTCGTCTATCTGCACCAACCTGCATATGATTGTTCACTAATACCTCTGTGTATAACATTAGTGTCTATTGCAAGTCTCGGACATCCATTGTTTTACCTGTCAACCCAAAGGAAGCTGCGCCTCTGCTTAAAGAGAGAAATGAAAGCCAGATGACTGTCTATCAGTCCATTCTGGTCATTTAAACTCAAGTTAAGGGCATATATAGATAGATAGATAGATAGATAGATAGATAGATAGATAGATAGATAGATAGATAGATAGATAGATAGATAGATAGATAGATAGATAGATAGATAGATAGATAGATAGATGGATGTGTGGGAGGGAGATAGGTATAACAGTAAAGATGCAAGGAAGAAAAAATAGTGAAAGTAGATACATTTAAATACCTGAGGTCAACCATCCAAAGCAATGGGCACTAGATGGATGAAGATGGGAGTGCAGGCAGCGTGGAGTGGGTGGAAATGAGTGTTAGAGATGAAAGGGGAAACTTTCAAGAGTGAAAGAGGTTTAAAAGATGGTCGTGAGACCTGCTATGGTTTGGTTTACAGGAGTAAGCAGAATGGAGTAAGCAGAATGGAAAAGATTAATAATTATTTCAGACAACTCAGTTTGAGTGCTTTGGAGACAATGTTAGAGAGGCTGTTTCCTGGAGGAACCTACCCAAGGGATTGAGGGATTAATAAAGATAGATCTATCCATCCATCCATTGGGAGAAAAATAGGAAGACCTCAGAAGATTCAGTGCAGTGAAAAGGGACATGGAGAAGGCTGTTACAGAGGAGGATGCTAAGGATAGAGTAAGATGAACACAGAGGTTAGCTAAAGCAAGGAGCTGTAAGAAATAGTCTCAGCTCCTTATTTAGAAATGTCTTTCTGTTAGCAAATGCAGAGATTTGTTTTCAATAGGAGGCCTTCTTTAAACTATTTAATGAACTGTGTGCTGTTTAACTGTTTTTTATATATTATAATACACATTACACCATGTGGGGTAAAATATTTTGTCTGTTAGTAACACAGGATGAATTTCAGAGTTGCTGTTTACCATAAATGTTCTTTTTTTTTTTATTTGATTATGTCACAGCCTGATCTGTACTAATACTGTGTGCTGCTGACTTTGACAAGTAGAGAAGGAAAGCTGATCAGATTTTAGTACTGTCTATATTCATAAATGACTTTGTGCAGTGGGATAATATTTAATAGAACAGAAGTAATATTGTGCTGCTCCTGTACATTCACATGAAAATGGCCACAAGAAACTGTGTGTTGAGATTCCTTCTGCTTTGCTTGCTGTTTTGACAATATCACGTAAATTTAGAGGAGCCGATGTTTAAGTGTAGGTTGTAAGAATCATGTTGTATTTATGAGTTGTTTACTTAAAATAAATAAAAATCAGGTCATGTGCAGGTTGCTGAGAAAAGAGGTGAAAGCAAAGTTTTAGAAAAATTGTTGCTTTAATGTAATAATTATGTTATTTATGTAATAATGTACACGGCATGATTAAAACATCTTATTAAAACCCAATAAAATGTTACATTGCTTAATCATTACAGTAGTCACTACACTAAAACCACAAACTGAAACAGTAAATGTAGTTCCATTTCTTTGGGACTAACTTTACTCCTTTAATTACACAGGAGCAGTTCTATTGGTGCTCTGCTCCTGCAAAAAAAACCCTCCTTCATTGTTAAAAGGTGTTTATAACTGGCATGACTGAATGGTTTAAACAGGAGGATCCCAAACACCTGCAATAGATGCATTTTGTTTCAGAGACAGCTAAGTTGGCTTTTACAGCCAGCCAGTGGATTTGCAGTGTTTTTGGTTTTGACCTACAAAAAATCGGTGTACAATAAGAAATTCTCTGTGTTTCTTCTTTCAGCACTTCCCACACATTTTATTTGACTTCTTTTTCGTATCACACCGCTCACATGCAAAATTGAAATGTCTCTCGAAATGCTGCTGATAATAGAGCTGTGTCAGTGTGATAGATTGTCTGTGGGTTACGGTATCTCATAGTGACTTTAATAAGTACCTGATCATACATCATCTGCATGATGTATCTACACAGCATTCAGATCAGCTGTTACAGTCCACACGGCCAGGACCACACAGGCCCAGCAGTTTGTAGCAGAAGAGTTCACCCAGATGGTTCGCAGATAAGTTGCTCCCACATCAGGTCTACTGGCTTTTGGTTGCTAATTTGCACGGCAGTCAGCAAAATAATGGTTATTATTTAAATTAGTGCATGGATCACCTGCAGAACGCCCGTACGCACTTCTGGGTGCTTGTGGCTAAGTTGCCCCATTTAATATGGCTCAAAGTTTGTTATTATCCCCACTTTTAAACATAATTTATAGCGCACTGCTCATGCTCCAGAACATGTGAAAATCCCAAAGCTGTTATCAGACAGAAGATCAGCCGAACTAACTGAAATAAGATTCTGGGATTCAGACTAACTCAGACTAACTAGCACTGTTGACCTGTCCCATGTTGATCTAAAACTGTTCAAATTACATAAATGAACATCATACTTATCTGGCTCAATACATGCATACATGTACTCGTTGGATCACAGCAAAAGCAGAAATATATAAACAGATTTTTCTCATTTCACTCACAAACATGCGAGTCATTACTGAGTCTGTTTCCAGTGTCTTCTTTGTGACTTCAGGAGCATTTTGTGTTGCACGGGTCTCCGGATGAAAAGTAGTCGTACACACTGACCAGAGGAAACATGGTCACAGCTCCCAGCAGAGAGCCCAGCTGCACTACAGCTCCGCACCACACGAGGGCGCTGTGGCCTTCATCACGGAGGATCACCCCAATAATCACCTTCACATAGGACAGGGTGAGAATAAAGAGGACCCAGGCCAACACCTGTAGAACAGAAGTAGGTAAGTGCTGCTGTGTTTCTGCTTATCACAAGGTAAAGAAGTGCAACTTGTCTCCCAACAGGAAACACTGTGAATTGTTTGAGTAACAGACGTCTACCAGTGCACTCACAATGATAACACCACCTGAGGTATCATTTACCAGCACTGGGCATGGACTCAGCACTGCCATGATCATAATATAAACTCCAACTCCAGTGCCAATCACTGCGAGGGCTCCGATGAACAGCAGGGATCTGTGAAATGAAACAAATGACATCCCGACTGCAGTTACAGATGCTCTAAGGTTGATATAATGTGGCACAAACATGTGAAGCTGTGGGGGAGGGGCCAGATGAACTATAAAGGAATTTGACATTAGTTGTGCTTAAACAGAGAAAAAGCTAAATAGCATTAGAAAAATCTAAAAGTGTCTCCTGTAAGAGGGTTTAAGCAAGTTTTATTCAAACATTTCCATTATTTTTGCATTAAAAACTATGGAGAATATGAAAGAGTCCTGAAGATTTATTATTGTTTTAGCATTTACCTTGTTAAAATTGCCAATGGCACACTTACCTGATTGGTAAGAACATGGCGATGAAGCATGCCAGAGGGTTGGACAATGCAGCTAAACTGGCCGACAGGTGGTAGGCGTTGTTCCCGTACGGCATGCACGAGTAGGACTGCACCGAGGGAAGAACCGTGTTGCTCAGAGCGTTCACCCAGGCCAGAATCCCAAAGATATAAAACACCTCCATCCAGCTGTAAGAGCCGGTGCCAAAGCTGCTTCTGGGCTTCTGGTTTTCTGGTCTGTAAGGATCCATCATTGGGTTCTGCTCGACCAACTCCCTGTTTTTTGGTTTTTGTTTCACTCCGTTGGTGTATCTGCTGTTTGGCTGCTCCCTGGCCACAGATGGATGGTAGTTCAGGAGCAGGAAAGCCCCCAGGCACACCAGCATCATGGCACTGAGGAAGAAGAAAAACACCTCAGTCGAGAAGTTTGCAGGCTGATACTGGGCCTGGAGGTCAAAGGTCACAGAACCGTTGGGAATGTTGAGGGTGTAGTTCACAGACTGTGTGCTGTTTATGCAGTGGACGACCCCTGCACCTTGGATCAAAGCCACAAGAGACGGCAGCAGGCCACTCACACCCTCCCCGATGTAGTAGGTGGTCAGATACTGAGACTTGAGACGCATCATGAAGGGCAGGAAGGTGACGGAGGAAGTGCAGTCAACAGCAGCGAGGAAGAAAGTTAAAACAAGGAGAGGCACGCTGCGAGCCACACCTGCTACAACCACAGTCTCTTTCCAGAAGAATCCCAGCAGGAAAGTTGCTACAGTGCCCAGGCCGATGATCACATATATGACAGCTCTCTCGTTCAGGGTGCCTGGTCGGAAACGATGCATCAGAGTGACGAAGAGAGGCCCGATGTTGGCCATCTGGATGATGACTGAGAGGTAGGAGGGCAGGTACCAAGCCTCTGGGATCTGGGGGACAATCAGAGGCAGCTCCACCCACAGACCGTTGATGGAGACCCAGGAGCCCATACCGAACAAACATGCCAACAGGTGAGTGAGAAGGGACATGTTGCTAGGTGGGTTTCTAGAATGAGACAAACAAGATGTTTAAAGTAGACCTTACTTATTTTATTTATAATGAAATCTCATATTTAACAATAAAATTTGATGACTCAGAACATTAGCTGTTGTGTTTCATTCTAGCTTTTTTAACAAATAGACCTCAAATTGCTCTTAAATGTTTTCTGGGTTCAGCATCTAAAATTCTGAAATGTTGTAAGAATATCTGTGATCACTCATATTATAAATGATATAGATACCATATAATGTATATATTGATGATTTACTCTACACAAAGAACATTGTTAATGAAAGAAACCCAATAAAATGAGGAAGGAACCTCTCAAAAACTGCAGTTACCGTAGTAAACACCTCAGCCTAGCTCAGAATTGTCCCCATATCCTCTAATGTTAAACTATAGCTCTTATACAGTGTCATGCAGTATTGTGCAAAGGTTTTGCTTGAAAGGATGCACTGATCATCTAATTGCTCTTTGGTACCATAATGCTATTTTGTCTCTGTTGTGTTGTTGATATTTCATAGATTCAAGTAAAGAAATGAGAACAAATGATGTGTTTGCAACAAGTGCCTAAAGATACAAGCTAAAATGGTTCTTTGCTAACTTGGCTGTTTTGCAAAGCCAAGTCACTGGTTCATCCTTTGATGTGTGTTTTTTCTTTAATGCATGAATGCATCAAAGGTCTAGGACTGTACTGAAAAACCAGCCAATGTCCAGAGAAACAAACTTTGAAAGACACAGTGATTTTGGCCTCTGTGCCTAATTTTCCTCATCACAACAACTATAACAGTGGCGATTTTTGAATAACCTATTTATTTGGATATTGATGAAGTCTGAAACTGGGACCTTTGCTTTCTTGAACTGGTGTATTGCACTTATTGAGCTGGACCTGTTGAATGTGTTTGTGTCTTTTAGAACATTTTTCATTAAGTTAATATAATATGGACACAGGTCAGGCCAGGTAGCGAGGAAAAAAACATTGAAATGTGCAACACAAAAGGATAATACAGGAATGCACAGGTATCAACACACCATAACACAATAAACACAGACAAGCAACATGGGAAAGAGTTCCAGTGTGTACATCTGATCTGGGACCGCTACAATCTTTTGACTGCGCCTCCAGCTGACCCGATGTCCACATCATGGGGGAGGTAAGCGTTGGAGGTGGCGTTGGATCCGGGGTAGGGAGCGTGATGCGTCAGTGAGTGCTTATCAGTATCAGTATATGTATGTGTGTGCGTGTCCATAGTTCAGCTGAGACAGTGTCCTTCGCCCTGCCAGGCTAAGTAAACGGTCTTCCAGCCAACCCAGGTGGCCTTGTAGGGAATGGGAAGGAACAGACTCAACACAGTCGTTATCAGGGAGTTGTTGTTCGGCTCCAGCCTTGAGCTGGCGCCGAAGGGGTAGCCGGGTTATGATGGTAATTGAGAATTTCAAGCTGTTTTTTAACACTCCGACACTGGTCTCTCAGTCTCCCGTTAATAGCTGCGAGCTTCTCCGTGATGTTATTAGCCGTCGATTCTGTGGTCTTGTCACTCTTTTTGCTCACATAGCAGATTCTGAGACCTCACGACCGCAGCCAACTGATCCGAGGTGTAATCCAGCTCCACCCAGAGATGTTGTTCTGAGTTGATTCTTTCCTGATGTAATCCAACATACATACGCTCAAAGGTGTTATTCTGAGCATTCACTGCAGTCGTAAGCGCCTCCAAGCTCTTAACCATGCTGCCTTCAGTGAGCCCTTTCTGAGAAGTCGCACCTGTCGTTCCAATCCCAGCGGGCAGCCTTGTGGGGGTTTGAACAGCCGGTTCCGCTCTCTTAATTCTCCGATAAGCCAGGGCCAAGCCAGCTCCGATCAGCAAGAACCCTGTTATCATGGTTCCGAATAGGTAGATATCTTCAGCGTCCTCGATCGACAGTCCCGCCAGGCACACGATCCTCTGCCACCCGTCCATCGTGTATCCGGCAGGGAAAGTCCCTCCAGGGCACTCGGGTTCTCCCGAGCCCAGACTTCTCGTTAAAGGGTGTCAATAGCATTCAGAGACCAGTTGATCAAATCCATAATTCTCTTTTAGGTTTTAGACACAGACTGTGAGAGAGTGTTCCAGGGAAAGTAATACAAAAAAGACACGAGACTAGACAAGGACATAAGAACTAGCAGGAAAGATAAGGGAGAGGAGAAAAGTGCGTCCGCCTCCTCCGAGAGCCAAAGGCTGAAAAATGGTGTATGGTGGGGACAAAAAGTTTAACCATAAAGTATTAAGACTTTATGGTTTGAGGTTCTGATTAGGATCAAACTTGGCAACCAGTGCTTCCAGTTAAAGTAATGCGTGACCTTTTATGTTTATTTGACTGTTCCGATAGCTCTCATGGAGAAAATAGTTTATTGGCTTAGCTGTGTCATTCCATCTGCAAAGAACTGGACATAATTAAACTGAATAAAACCTTAAGATCCCAGATCTGATAATGTGTCACCATCATGAAGCATCCCAGTAAAGGTCCAGCACTTAACTACTGGGCTAATGTTTACTCCTATTTTAAGGAGCTTATCTTTTCATTGTTTTATTCAGACAGTCACTTCTGTGAGATGGAACAAGTTACATGCAAAGTGCAGCGTATAAGAAGATGTTTAAATAGTCTGGCTTCAATCTGCGTCAGATATGAAACATACAGCAAACAAAACACGACCACCTACCACACTGTGATCTATTACATAACCTGAGAAAACATCTGATCAGTGCATTGTTTATTTAAATAGAAACTTCATGCAGTGGAGACACTGATCAAAGAAACTGTAAAATAATAGTTTGAAACCAGTGCTACAAAAGACAGTTCTCCAAGCCCCTGAATTTGTTCCTTTACCTTATGAACACATTATTATTATAAAAAAAGTCAAATAGTCTCAAAATAAACTATTCTGAATAAATGGCTATGAGCATAATGAAAAAAACAAACTTTTTTTTTTACAATTTTTAAATACTTTCATCGTTAAACTCAGAATATGCATCGCTGCAGATACTCACATTCAGTTTGGTGGAGTTGTTTGAAGAAATCTGCAGACACAAAGGAAAGGAGAAGCCAAAGTCCTGCTCAATAAACTGTGTGTGTGCGTGTGTGTGCGCCAAAGGATTAAATCCTGCTTGGGGCGAGTGGGTGTGCGAGCATGTAACCAACCATGACACACGTTGGGTTAACTGATCATTGTCCTAACTTTACATATTTTCACTCTCAGGGCTTTTGCATCATCACATATTAGGATTTCAAGTCACAGCAACTGTTTCTTTTGCCTTGAAGGAATCGTTGAGTCGGCACTCAAGAATCTACAGAATCCATTAATTCTGCTTAAGGGGATCATGGGAGCAGAGGGGGAAATGGGTGTTTACGTGGCCGAGTTACAAAAACTGCATGAAAAACAAGTGCTGTAACTTGCTAATTTTATTCATCAGCTGATTTTCTTACATTAATGTAAAGCCAGGGTTCTCAAAGTGGGGCGCACGAGAAAAAGTTGGCCCATGGCAACACTTTATGTGGTCTTTGGCAAAAGCAAGGGAAGAATGCACTCTACTGTACACTCATTTCATTTATCTACAAGTCATGCATTATAAAGCACTGGAGGATGAGAAGGGAACCTTTACACCCTGCTTTAAAGGAACGGCTTTACATTTGCACACACCAACCTCTCATCCTTCAGCTGTAAAAACCACAATCTGGCTTTTTTAGTAGCTTCAGGTTTATTTCACATTTTGAAATGAAATCATTTCAGTGGTTAGTATTGTTACCGTTCTAATTTTTCCCAAGCAGCTGGTGGTGGCGTCAACAGGAGTTGAATTAGATAAATTATTAAAGATGGTCAGACGATAGTTAGAAGCTGCGTGTGAATTAAGTGCGTGACAGGTTCGTGAATTGACACTGGATGGATGTTGTATGTGCAAACCTGGTGGGGAAAAGGGAAAATGCAACATTGTATAACTGGACACCTGATTTACTGAATTTGACCAACGTACTTTCTTTATTTGGCAAAGTGAATGTGGATAAAAGCTCAAAGCCATCAGCTGTGTGCCTATAAAATATGGAAATACATTTCAAGTCACTTTAGTATTCTTACATTGTTAAAATAAATCTTTCATTGCAGTTTTCCAGTGTTCTACTTTACAGTCTGTTTTCACTACTGTTCTGCAAGTATCTGCGGACAGGATGGCGGCTTCCACAGGCGAGCGCTGCAAATCTGTAGCAGCCAAAGAGGTTACACACCTTTTTCACACACATTTTTCCCTTGGCAACTGGTGATTGTCTCAAATCCTGTGTGACTGAAGCCTAATGTTAGCTACTGTCTCTACAACTATGCCAGATGTGCATATTATTTTAGAAATGATGTTTATATATGGCACAAAGACATTTAACATTTTAAAAGTTGACTGATTCATGACATATGAGTGTAGATGACTTATGTTAAAAAAAAAAAACTCTTTCCAGAACAAACTGCAAGCTCAAAAATACAAAACGCAAAAACCAAACTATCCTCAATACTGATATTTTAAAACAACAAAGAGCAGTTTTACCCATGAACAGTTTTATTCATAACATTGTTATACAAGACAACGTAAAAAGAAGAAAAAAACAAAATAAAACAAAATCCATAAATGCAAAATTCAATCCATTTGAAATTACCAAATGACATTTCATTGGTATTAAAACAAAAAGCCCAGTATTACATCGAAATCCTCAAGGCAGCTTAACAGATGTTCTTCCTGTGTAAACAGAAGAGTTTAATAAAGCTGATGCTGGGTAGCAGCATGGTTAGTAAAATTACATTAACTGCATATCAAAGACGCAAAATCATTACTTTAAGGACTTAGAAATAAAATTCCTTGTTCACTGATTAGTGACTGTCAGGCATGTATCGTTCCCTTAAGATAACATCCCAAATGTCAAGTAAACTTAAATCTAAAGAAAACTTTCCATCCATCCATTTCTTCCGCTTATCCAGGGCCAGGTTGCAGAGGCAGCAGCCTAAGCAGAGAAGCCCAGACCTCCCTCTCCCCAGCCGCCGCCTCCAGCTTTCCCAGGAGAACACCAAGGTGTTCCCAGTTCAGCCGAGAGATCAAGAACTGAATGGATCTGACTGCAAAAAGCTACTTCAATATAAATTCTACCATTTTCATGAGGAGCTTAACAGAAAATCATAATCTGTTTAAAAAAAATCAATTCCTGGCATAAAAAGGAGGTAGCAACACATCTGAATATAAAATAAAACATTAATGCTGCCTTTCTACATTGAAAGAATGTAGTTAGTGAATCATTCGGTTCAGCATCAGTACATGAGGACGAACAAGTTAGCTGTTGTGTCTGAGTGCAAATAACCTTTCACGTGATAGCTGAGATGGGAAAAGTCCATCAGCAGCTCCTCTGCTGCGATAAACAACCTGACCTACAAAGGTTCATTATAAAAAGCACAAAGCACTTTAAAGGTTTTACAGCATCATATGCATTTTACATCCCCCATGGCCAATCCTGCAACACAATGCTCCCATTATTTGGGAATGTTTTTACTTCCACAGACTTGAGACCTCTGAATCAGGAGAGGCTGCCTCATGTGAGACATGATCCTCAAGAAGAAGTAGCTGTAAGAAATACACAATACATCTCTCAGGAACCACAAAAACAGAATTCATTTGGCCATTTCCCATGGGGCAGGAACGAGAGGCGTGTGTGCTTACAGAAAAACTGCACTCATCTCACTCCTGCTAACTGCATTCTTGGACACATTCTTGGCCTCTGGTAAACACGTTGTAGATGTTGACCAGAGGAAACATGACGAGAGCTCCGATAAGAGAGCCGGCCTGGATGGAGATGCCGCACCACAGCAGGGCAGCGTGACCCGCCTCGTGAAGCAACGTACCGATCACCACCTTCAGATAGGAAAAGGCACCAGTGAAAAAAATCCAGGAGATTACCTGTAGGGGTCACAAATGGGCAGGTGAAATCAGTGAAGGATATTATTTAAAAACAGAAGAAAATGTGATGAGACTGAAGGAGTGTGGGCCTCTAAAGATCTGTTGTAACTCATGTGGACTCCTGTCTACAATTCTCACTGCTTATGAAGGCATTTGGATTCATTTTCAGAGGTAAAGTTATACCAATGTACTGTTTTGCTTCATAAAGTACACTGACTGAGGAACTGGGTGCGCGTGAGTGTAATTTACACTCCTATAATCACCGATCGGCATATCGCAACCTGCTCCAGGTATCGTTACTGAGCAAGCAACAAGATTTCACTGATTGTGAGGTTTTATGACACTAACACAGCTAGCAGGCTATATTTAAAGCTCACTATAAAGATGGGCTATTATTCTCAGGAAGCTGTGATTAGTAGACTTCTTAATCATGATTATTAAAGGTCAGAAAAGTATTCAGTACAAGTTCAGGGGTAAAATTTAAAAAGAATTTTATACAAGATGCATCACAGCAAAAAATGCAATGTGATGACTATATATAGGAAAATGTTTAAATAAATCAAAACATGCAGAAATGTTAAATATGAAGTGAAAAAAAATTTCTTGGGATTTTTGATTCTTAAACACAAAGACAACTGATCATCCAGTACTAAATAATGCAGGTCTGCAACCAAAAAACTGCATAGGATATGTTGACTGTTTCTTATAGATTTTCACTGAAACCGTGAAAAATCTCTTTAAAATTCCATCACGTCAGTTTTTTAGTTTAATTACGTGTACAATTTCCCTTTTCAAACTGAAATCTGGTGTCTTATACTTGAGCCAGAAAAACATATCCAATAATGATTTTTTACAGTAATTTAATATTTCTAAGCGTGAGACTCGAGAGAAATACAAATAGAAAATGTGAGGAATTGAGGGGGGTCAGTAGGAGGGGGAGGGTAGGGTGGGTTTGGCGGTGTGAGGAGCTCAGATGATCACGTCCCAACAGGTTTATTTTGTTCATAGTGAAAGGTAAGAAATCGCAGAAAAATTATGCATGGTTTTAATTTTTTTTCATCGCTGTTGTGCTTTTTTTTTAAAATGTAAACTCCTCATGTTTTGCAAAACTGTACATGATAGAGGGAAGTGGAAATCATTTTTGGATTCAGCAGCATAACGAACATAAAATTTAACAAAAATATCCCATGAAGCTGAATTTTTTTTTGCAGACCTGCATAATCAAAGGCTCTATGAAGGCACTCTTTAACCTTAAAATTTCTAGTTCCTAGTTTGCTCTGATTTGGCGTGTTGTACATTCACCTAAAAGCGAAAAGATCCTCAGGGAGGAGACACAAATCCCTTTGAGGGTCGAACCAGGAAGGGCTTAATGAGATTCCCTAAAATTACTAGTTTAAATTTGGGAATTCGTTTTCTTTCTTTCTTTATATAAAATCAGCTTTATTTTTATTTATTGTGCCCATTTAGAAATGTATCCATTGTTGTTATACTATAGATGTTAACTAATTTTATTTAAACATTAAGCTTAAAAATAGTAATTTTGATTCATTTATTTGTTTAAATAAATAAATCAAATTGCTCACGTTTACAGCTCCTAACTGAGAACCACAGGCTACGTAAGGAGCCAAGATGGCCACCACTTCCAGAGGATCATTCCCTTCCCCATCACCCATCCAACATTTGTTGCCTCTATAAGCAGCTTTGTTTGCTTGTTATTTCTGGCCTTGGCTTAAAGACCAGATTATTTCTGCTGAAATAATAAACACAACATCTACTCTTTGTTCAAAGTTGTTTTTGTGGCTGCGTACGACATTTTCAGGATGTGTCTCAGCCTCCTTGACGGGATGTAACACCTCAGCCCAGAAATAAATGAACCCACTCACCACTAAAGCCACACCAGCATGGCTTCCTAGGAGCGGCGGGCAGGGGCTGAGGGCCGCTAACGCCATGAGATAAGCAGCAAATACACCACCCACCAAAGCCAAAAATCCCAGAGGTGTAGAGGACCTGGAAAAGACAAGTTTTCATGAGAAGTCGTCTAAATATAACAATGAAATCTCACAAATAAGTCTTTATTTCTGTGTTCTCACCTGAGGACAACGAACATGGCCAGAAAACACGCTACGGGATTCGCTATGTTTCCAAGGACCACAGAGAGGTGGAAGGTCATGGTGCCATAGGGCAGGCAGGAGAAGCTCTGCACAGATGGGAGGACTCCATTGGTGAGGGCGTTGGAGATGGCGAGCAGCACAAGCAGGAAGATGTTTCGCGGTGTCCAAAATGTCTGAGCGGGTGGCTGCTCCTCCACCCGCACCTGCTCCTCAGACACTGGCGTCTCTCCGTTGTACAGCCGGTGCGTCTCTTCTTCATCCTTTGCTGCTGCACCACTGTCAGACTCCTGCGGTGGCGGTGGCTGTGAACCCTGCGTTGACTCTGACGGTCTTCGCGTCAAAGCCAGGAAACTCAGAGCAGAGATTGAGAGCATCACAAACAAGAACCAGAAGAAATTCTGGGCGGGAAAGTTCTCTTTCAAATACTCTGGTTGCACTGTGCCGTTCACAATTTTACACTCCAGCTTGCCAACACCTTGTCCCAACGCCACAATACAAGGGAACAAGGCGCTGAAACCCTGACCAATGAAGAAAGTGCGGATATACTGAGGTGGGTACCGGAACATGAAAGGCAGAAAGGTCACGTTGGATGTACAGCAAACAAACGATAACACGAAAGTCAAGACCAGGAACGGTACGGATCTCTGCTCTCCTGCCACCATGACAGTGTGGCACCAGAAGACGGCCAGAAAAGCGGACGCCACCACTGCCAGTATCTGGATGCAGTGGATGGCGAGGCGTTCGTTTAAGCGCCCAGGCGCACAGTGGTGTGTGATGGTCACTGCTATTGGTCCCAGGTTCCCAAATGCTATAAGCACTGAGAGGTAAGCAGGCAGGTTCCAGCCTAAAAGAGAAGCAAAACAAACAAGTTAAAGTAATTAGATCTCAATAAGAACACATTTTTATAATTTTGTTTAATAAATGTGTTTTGATTCTTTTGAATTCATATTTGTGTTCTTTTTTTAAAAATAAGGATACCACATTATTCTGCTGATCTTAAGGTGCTTTTCCAAAACAATTTTGTGCATGTATGTTTCTATTAAACGATGCTAATCTGTTTTTATTGCATCAAGAGTTATTTTGTTAAAGAATGATGCTGCGACCTACTCCCTGAGTTCACAGTAAGTTCAATATTGTGAGTTTGCTGCCCTCATCAGGCAGTAAACTCATAATAAAATAACTGGTATTCACTGTGGTGTCTTGTTAACGAAAAGGTGTCCTTTGGATAACCACAAAGACATTAAATTGATATAAGCAAGAAACCTCTGACCAGTGAAAGTGTAAGTAAGCTGGATATGAGCCAGTCTGACAGAATATTAGCCATTTTCAAACATAACTGCAACACAGGAAATTTTTAGTTTGTGTTTTTTTGTGTGTTTTCTCAGATTGGCCCTAATATGTGTCAAACAGAGGAATGCATTTAGTGAAAATTTTAGTTGTAGATTTGAGTTTTAGATCAAGATGACACTTAGCCTGTAATAAAGTTTAGTTATATCTAACATGCAGCTGTGTAACATTTATTGAAAACCACGGTTATGTTCATACCTCAGCTTTGACTTTGAGTGGATGAATAATTTAAAAAAATAGCTTAAAAACTAAAACAAACATACACCTGGTCTCTTGATCATGACTGGGTCATAACACCCCTACAAATATGTGATGAACCCACTGAAGTTTTCTCATAAATATCATCCCATGATGAAGCACTTAATTCTGACAGTATATCGTTGGGCTATTATACTGATATTATACATTCACCAGTCACTTCAATTGGTACACCATGCAAGTACTGGGTTGGATCCCTTACTGCCCTTAGAATTCATGCATGCTGGAAACATTTCTCAGAGTTTTGGTCCATATTGACATGATAGGATCACACAGATAATGCAGATTTGTCAGCTGCACATCCACGATGAGAATCTCCACCACATCCCAGATGAACTCTATTGCACTGGGATCTGGTGACTGGAGGCCATTAGTGTACAGTGAACTCACTGTCATGTTCAAGTAACCAGTTTGAGATTATTTGAGCACTGTGACATGACACATGACTCATCAGAAGATGGGTAGACTGTGGTCCTAAAGTGATGGACACGGTGAGCAGCAGTACTCAGACTGTGGCATTTAAATGATGCTCAGTTGGTACTAAGAGACCCAAACTTTGCCAAGTAAATATCCCTAACCTTATTACACCAGCAGCCTCATTGATGCAAGGCAGAATGGATCCACTGTAGACTAAGTTTCGTGTTCTTAGACAACAGGACTGTGATCCAATGTTGTTTTGGCTGCTAAGGTTTCAAGTTTGTGCAGCTGCTGAGCTACACAGTGGACAGCTTTTCACTTTTAAATAATTTTCTGGAAACTCCAGAGATGTTCATGGGGAAACTTCCAGTAGATAAGCAGTTTCAATTCAGTGACACCAACAAAGGCACTTAAATCATCTTTTTTCCTTCCATTGTGATTCTCAGTTTGAACTTCAACATCATTTTTGCCATGTTTACATACCTGAATCCAATGAGTTGTTGCTACGTGACTGGCAGCTGAACAGGTGTACCTAACAAAGTAACCACTGAGTGTACATAGGTAAATGAGTAAATCTATAGGAAGCATTTGGTTTGCACCAGGCAATGTGGAAAAATAGTAAAGTATGCAAAATTGAAGTAATAAGTAAACAAACATCTAAATATGTACAGCGTGGCTATAGAAAAACAATGGAATAATAAAGGTTACCTTTCAGTCTATCATTATTTTATCATTTACGACAAAGGTATAAAGAAGCAATTTGCTTAAAACGTAGTTAAAATGTGCACAGTAACCTCTAAACTGGTATCATCTGTTATAGTTAATTTTCAATTTTGATGGTGAAAAGTTCCAAAACAAATGAAATTATAGAGACCATGGAGTAAATGTTGGGCCTCAGAAATAATATTGTAAATATATAACACTGAAGCATTTCAGTGTTAATGCAGGAGTTATAACTACATAACATCGGGTATAACAGCCTATAAACTATACTGCAGATAATGATGACAGGTTTAGCAGTTTAGTATGTAAAGTCTAAACCTGCACATTAACAACAGCTCAGGAACTAAGTCAGAGCGCCATCTCTTAAAAAACTCGAAAACACAACTACATTTGAACGCTACACCTAACCAATTTTGAATGCATAGACTGATAATGTAACAAATAAGGTGGAGCTAGCTGTTATTGTTCACCACCGCCTCCAGAGCCTATATAATAAAACCAATGAACTCAAATAATGTGGAAACGCTGTGATACACGCTATGGATTAGTAGGGGAAAGGTCAAAGCGGGGAAGAGTGGGGTTGTTGGAGCTTCCTACAACCTACCTTCGGGCAGCACGCCGACAATCACCGGGAGCTCGACCCACAGACTGTTGACAGAAATCCAGGAACCCATGGCGAACAGAGCCATGAGCCCGTGGCTCACCGCGGCACTGCTCCACCACCCACCGGACATGGTCGCACTTAGTCCGGCTAAGTCAACAGAGAAACGCTAATAAAACGCTTGCCTCAGCTTGTGTCCAGCGTGTTCCTCCATACCTCCCTATCAGGGACTCGAAACAGAGGACGCTTACGCAAAGTCCCGCCCCTTCGGCTGCCTTCGAAACTGTTCGGAACTTTAATAATCGGTTTAAAAAAATTTATTTCGGCTTTTACGTGCTTCAATTTTGCATTTTTTCTACTTAAGCAAAGCACACATTCCACACTAGGTTCGCTGCAAAGTTGTATCGTGAATTGTAAAGGTGGTTTATGACCTCCAAGTCATTTTTAATTACCGCTCTCTGGTATGCTGCCATTTCCTACAGCACCGCGGGTTTTCCCTATTCTTACAGTGGTTCTCTGACACATACAAGCTCCAAATTTTTTAAAGCAGCGTATAATATAACACGTTTGGACATTAACTCAGTTGGAGCGTTTTCATACTCGATAAGGAATTCTAGACATTCCGACAACCGTGAAGGTACCATCTGCCTTGGAGTTCTCTCGTTTGCGATCCAGCGGGCAACTCACAGACGGCTCATTGTAAACAACTGTTACCTTTAAAATAATTAAAGGGGGAGGGGTTGCTTGTTTTTTTGTTTTTGTGGTAAGTTAACACTGATTTTTGCTTAAATTGCGACACCATCGCCCTCTACTTTAACAGCTAATTAGATTCATTACAGCCAAACAATGGGCTTTGCTGCTCTTCTCTAGCATTTTAATAATTTAAAAAAAAAAAGAGAAGATCCCAATACTATGACTTTCGATACAGCAATCCCACTGCCACCCTATTTTTGTTTTTTACCTTTGTGTGGTGTTTATTTAGCTTTAAATAATTTAGATTTATTTAACCCTTTATGTTGTTTTGTGTTCTGAGTTTAAGGTTAAAACAATAAACACAATGATTTTCTTTATAGTGAATTCAGAAAATGGATCCAGCAGACCCAAACAATACACAAGGGTTAAAGGACAAGGGGGCGCAAGAGTTTATGATCATGAACTCATTGACATGATTAACTCAGCTCAACTTGACACGACTAACTGCCGCTGATTAACTCACTCACACTGAGGCTTGTGATACAAACACAAATGCTCTTCAGATCTGACAAACACGAGGTCACCAACAACAACATCCAGACATTTTGTCGTTTGGTTGATAAATTAAGTAAAATAATTTGACAGTTGTCAATTTCACATCTTTTATGTAAGGATTAGTTACAAACTCATCGACATTATCGCAAAAAAAAAAAAATACTTATAAAAATATCCAGTCTTTCCAACTAATGGCATGTACAAAATAATACATTATGTGATAAGTGTGTTTTTGCTTAGTCCGAAGCCATGCAGTCACATGAGGAAGTCACATGATAAGATTTCATCCTCTTGACCTCTTCTCTAGATATCATACAGTTAAAGCACTCATGTGCCGCTGCTGCTTTGACTCGGACCGGTCGCAGCTTCCGTCGTGTCCTGGAGCACTGGCTTCTTTTTGGTCCTTCTAGGCGCCAAAACGATAGAGTAGCCAGGCTTTACGCGCGGAAGTGCAAGCTTCAGCTTCAGTGCCATTTGTGTGCTGTTGTGGAAAACCATATCCAGGTGAGAGTTTGTGTTGTTCAGAATCATTTTCTGATACACGATCTCGCAGCGCAGCCCCTCCCGTTTCTCAGCTCGGGATTTTCCATCGAAACGCAGCATCATTTTATCGACATCCTGCTGGGTTTTGCATGGCCCTCCGTTTCTATTCACTTGAGCTATTATGTAATCCCTGTCCATGTTCTCCTCTATCTCCTCGTACACCTTTATTGCCTTTTCTATTTTGCTGGCATAACCTTTTCTCATCTGTGGACTGCGGGTTTCTTTTGAGGTCCTCCTTCTAACTTCCAAAATGGAAAAGTCAGAGTCGTCAGAGCTCTCATCAGATGAAGCAGATTGGTATTTGTCTTCTTGGGAGCTGCCTGATGACAAGTTCTCATCTACAGAGTACTTTGTTGACTTCTCAGGCCTTTTCCTCTTGTAGGGGTATGTGTGGCCAAAGGGGTACTCCGCCATCAAAACAGAGAATGTGCAACTGACCAACTGCAAGCTCAAATTGGTGGAAGGAATTTGGGAAAATTTTCCTCCTGGCAGAAAATCCTTGAGGTGTTCTTCAGTGACTGAAGCAATCACCTTTATCGTCCTCTTCAAGCAAGCTCTGATCAGATCTCGATTCGTGTGCCACTGCCCACAGTAGTGAAACACTCCGTCAAAGGTTTTCTCTTGCAGTGGGTACTGCAGAAAGACATCCGTAGCCTCCTCTGGTTCCAGCAGAGTTGAAGGATCTTTGGACCAATCGAGAAATTTTTGGTAGAGATAGAGTAAGTACTGGCTGTAGAGAGCGTACTCTCCTCCACTCTTCAGAAGCTGCCAGTAAGGACCGAGGATTTTGCAGTACACAATTGCCAGAACACATACGAGGCTCTGAATCACAGTGTCGTTCGCATCTGCGGCAACACTCTCCAGAATAATGTTCGGGCATTTATCGTTGTTTAGCGACAGCAAATCTGAGAAGAAGAGAGCGATCTCTTTGTGGTGGTGGATAAGACCCGCAGCAGCTTCAAAGTAGGTGTTGAATCTGTTTGAGTGATTTACCGCCAGTCTGGAGGGATTATTCTTTTCCTCACAGAAAGCCACCCAGTACTTCCTGTAGTTTTTCTTCTCGGGGGTGCGAGGGCTCAGGATATCACAAGCCATGTGAATATACCGTGAGGTGGCGCTTTCTGGAAAATTGACAAAGTTCTTGAATTTAGGGAGCTTATCACGGCCTAGTTTCTCTCCCGCTGACTCAATGATCTCCTTTTCAAAGTCAAATATGTGCTGTTCCACTACATCGTGAACATCAACGAGGAAATTGGCATTGTAGTTTAGAAACATGACAGGAGAGACAAGGGAAATGTGTTCATGCATTGCCTCGAGCTTCTTCTCAAACACTGCCATAGCTGGATTGTCTTTGAATGTCAGAGCGTACTGATTTTTAAGGAGATCCAGGGAAACCTGCTTGCACACTTCTGTTTTCCCACTGTACACACTGGACAGTTTATGGACAGTCAGCATTGCGATGTCAAGCACAGTCATAGACTCTGCTGTGTTACCTGAGGTTTCGTCTCCACTGTTGGAAACATCCCTATCCTCATAATTTCTATGTACAGCAGCATGATCGTTTTGTCCTCTTATTTCATCTCTGTTCATCTCAGGCTCCTCACTTTCCATGATTTCAAAAATCTCGTCTTCCTCTTTGATTATAACTTTTTCATAATATATGCTCTCATCTCTTCTCATGCGTTTCTTTACAATAAGCTTTGGCTCTTTTATCTGAACCAGTTCAAACGGACTTTGAAGCATATTTTCAACCAATGCATTCCTCCTGTTACTTCTTGTTTCTGAATTGCAGCAAAACGCCTTTAACTTTTTTATTTTGGCTTTGAGGACTTGATATGCCCTTTGAACATTGCCATTCTTACAGTACTGTGAGTTGAAGTTTCTAAGCCAACTTACTAGAACAATTGGGGAAATTTTCTCCCTGCTCACAAAGTTGCTTAGTTCAAGAATCAAGCCGTTTGTGACTTCGATCGACTTTGCCCGATCTGAAAAATCTCTCATTTCCAAAAGATCTTGCCGCTCGACTCCAATGCTATCACATATTGGTCCAACAAAATTAAAATTGACATCTGATTCCAGGAAGACCAGCCTTGCATCATATCCAAGACTCAGTGTTGTGGCAATGCCTCTTCCAATCAAACGGCGAAAATCTGCTGACTGATGTGCGGGGAAGATCCTCTTGAGCCAATCCACAATGGCGATCCACGGAAAATTATTGTCCTCTCTCAGAAGTCCTACTTGGATCATAAATCTGTTCTTGCAGGGGCCCTTTTCAAGCTCTAATTCTTCTCCTGATTGAGGACCAATGAAGTCCGCAACGAGCTTCCAGTAGTATTCATCTCCTGAAAAATAGAAATCAAAGTAATCAGAAATGTAAACCTTTACGAAGAGGTAAGGCTTTTTAAATGAACTGGTATTAGGTAGGGCTGCACGATTTTGCATAAAATGAGAATCA